CACGCCGCCCATGAGGATCTAAATACACAGCAAATACATGAACAAATTGAATTTTTTGACGAGTGGACTGAAGTTTCATTTCAAAAAAGTTCTCCGACTAAATAACAATCGTCACCAAAAACGAGGAAGGTTTCGACCACACAAAATTTTGACGCGTGAAGAGAACGCGTCAAAAATATAACAAAGACTGACTCAACGACACTCGTTACTTTTTATCTAAGATTATAACTAATCACTCACGCTTAACGCGACATTTCCCTAGAGGTCAATAACTATAAATCCGAGCACACTCTCACACGTCACAGTTACGACCAGAACTACACGCATGAGTGTGGAAGAGGATGAGCATTCGCTCATCGGTGGAACACTAACCAAGAGGTTACGAAAATTAACCTTGAGATATTTACTATTCACATTTATGTACAGGTAGCTAAAGGAGAGATACGGCATATGGGCCGTTAGTTATTTACACTGACTTCATGTGGTGTAAAGTCGCGGAGCTCAGGCAGCTCCCACGCGAAGCGTTCAAGTACGAAGCCTCATAGAACGATGGCAGTCTCGGGGAGTATGAAGGTGGCGACTTAAATTACCTGATACTTTCAAATGTAGACATTTGACTTGCATATCAGAGACTAGTCGACGCCACTTAAATAAAAATTAAACTCAAGACAATACATAGTGAATCTAAAAAATGAAATCCTGAAACAAAGTTCACATTTTGAAATAAAATGTCCCCCCGTTATAATGGATAAATGCCCGTTTATTCTGTTTCATTGGACACATGAACATCTTTCTTGTAGCACATGCCGTTTGGACATAACAAACAATATCATTTTTTTCAATAACAAAACAAATTGGAACAGAAAATGACGATTCTTACAATCATTCAAGAAGAGATCTTAATCGTAACCACGATTTAGAGTGCGGTTTACTCTGGAATGATGAAAAACACTACTATCAAGTTCCGATTCAGCCAAGCACCAATACATCCATCGTTGCTAGCTATCTTTATGATTGCAAAACAAGTAATCTGAAAGCCAGAACCCGATCATTAAGTTCATTTCCTATATCTGGAATATTACTTCGTTGCTATAGCAGATGTATATCCAAGCCATGGGGTTGGGCGTTCGAAATTTGATGTTTAATAAAGCATATTAATTCTCGGTCGGATTTGACTTGAGATTAGCACTTAATTCACCAGTGAAACGAGGCGCTATACGTAATAACCACTGAGCGAACGATCGCACAACACACGCAAGGTTGGGTCCTCGATAGCATCATGAAATTACTACATCCAACATAAGATCACAAGCTGCTGTGAACTTGTATGACTTACAAAGGCGAAAAAGAAAAAAATTATGATGGAGCGCCCATAACTGACATTATTACTGGAGATATTAGCAATCACAAGCAAATGATGATTAACTGGTAACAATTCCTGTTAATGAACACGTACCCAACCAAAACACATTTATCGTAGATCATAAAATATTAACTGGAACTCCATTAATATCAAGGCTACAAAATTAATGCTAAGATCGATTATTTCAAATTGCCAAGTGTTCATAATTATTTAAATATTTGAAAAAAACTTTTCTGAAATCTGAAATTCCTGTGGTAACAGCAACATGATATATCTCAACAAAGAAGTTTAGCGTCAAATCTTCCTATGTTTTTCCGTACATATTTCCGGCACAATTTTCTGCTTCAGAACAATACAAATCATGTGCAAAACAACCGCCCACAGACGCCACGAGGCGCAGATTTTCTTTCGATTTTTGTGGTGCGAGGTTAAATATGCAAGACAGGCATACTTTCAACGTTAAAAATCCTCATGGATAAAATGTTCAGAGCAAAACATGTGCCAGATCATTATAATACATTGAGATCAGAACGTTGCTGGAGGCCGTACATGACACGAATCTAAGCGTACTGAGAACTCGTCGACTTCAAGGGCCATACTATGTAATATTTTGTAGCTGAGGCATCAGCCAATGAATGAAAGAATTCAATCGAAACTAACAAATAACAGAGGAGACATCGGCCGCTACGTGTACTTGAACGACTTTGATCGCACGGTCCCAGCTGCTGAGTGAAATTTCTAGTAGAGGGCGAGCTCTCAACAACCAGAACAAAAGATTCAATAAACTTATGTTTAAAACTAAAATCGATGGATGAAAGTTATCACGAAGATATATGGCAGTTATTGTAAGGATTCTGTCTTTTGTGAATAATTTTTAGTGATAAATTCAGCATCAATTTTATACATAAGGAGACACACAGTCACCTGTCAGAAAAACGAGCATAAAACCATGTAAATAATTTTAATTAATCGTACGTCATTAATTATTCGTCCGTCGAAAAACAAATTAAAGTTGCACTAACTGGCAGCAAATTGTTACCAAAAAGCAAACTGAGATGAACAAGAAGAAGCCTCGTGCCTCGACAGCGATGCGACACATTGTTGGTTCTTGTTTCAAATTCTAGTAACCCTTCAGGGACCTTGTATAGACCATGAGTATACTTGTATACTTCAATGAGGTCCCCACGCAGACGTACACATGAACTGTAGTTATGAGAACTGCGGCAAGTTTTGTTCTTGAAGGCCTAGAGATTATGGAGTACTCAGCTCTGAGGTACTTGGTTGTAGGAATAACTAATATTTATTATATAACATAATAATATTGGAATAATAGCACGAGTGACAGTGAGACATACGTATTAAGCAAATTCAAGCGCACACATTAAACGATGTGCATTTATGGGGCTCTTTAACATCTTCGATTATAATTCAAGATTCAAGAATAGAATAATAGAGATTCAATAATAATTTGCTGAAGTTAATTGAGTCGTCGAGAAAAATAAGATACACTGAAGTGCATCACACTTTGGACAGTCACTGGCTCGTCCAAGAAAGTTACCTTCTTGACTAGTTCATATTTATAGCGTAGCTTTGGAACGCATTACATAGTCTGGCTCTTCGCCGTGTTGGCACGCGATATCATGGCTGAAATGAATAAATCACGACTAAAATGAATAAATCAAATTAAAATGAATTAATCCTGACTAGAAAGTAACATGAATAAGTGTGATAAATTCGAAATTGAACATTTATGCGGCATTTCAAAATGAGTAAATGAGCACACAAAAAAATTCAAGCAACGAACTAAACTAAAATGCTAAAAAATTTGAAAGAGTTCCGTGAAAAAATAACTATAATTTGAGCTACATCTTTTCACAAAACCTTATAAATTTTAATCCAAAATCTGACCAAAAATTAGAGGCTTTCGAAAAAGATTTAAGGAGTTTCGTGCAATTTCGTATAAAAATAAATTATTGCGTGTTAAGTAAACTTTGAATGTTGCTTAATTAAGGGAATTGTTCCATAACACGCTTATGGTTACAGAAATATTAACAATGAAATTAATAGTAAAAGTATTATCTCCATACCAGAGTCTGACAACCTTACCCTCTCACATCAAGCTTGCGCTCAACACTAATGTATAAAACCATTAACTTAACATCGCATTTCATTTAAACCATCGTAAAAAAGTTCCCATAGAAAGAAATTTAAATTTAGAGTTGTTGCGCTAAACCTCAGCATTGTGTTCAGATGTGGAGAGATCAAAACGCAAGCGTGATGGTGAGAAAAAATACACACCAGTTTAAACTATCAAAACTTAGTTAGGTTTGACATAGATTATATAAATGCAAGTAATACCACACATTACCACAATGTATAACAATGCAGTTAAGTGGAAAAAAATTCATAAAGCGACAGTTTTTTGGCTGTAGAGTTTAAAAAAAATACAGGAAAAGTTTCTGGAGGATCTGGAGGAAGTAAATGTCGTTTTGCTTCATATTGACGAAAATAATGAAATGTGATGACATGAGAAAACTTTTGCATCTGGTATTGTATTCCAATAACCGAGTTCATTTCTACCTTAACCAAACAACGATGATAAAACAACCTCAGACGTGCATGTTAATATTATATGTGAATGTACATTGTACAATGAATGTTAACCAAATTAATGGCAATACAAGCAATTATAACTTCACGAAATAATTTTGACAGCCACACAGCAGCAAGTGGTCACTAATGATCTAATAAAGTCATTACATTTCAATGCTAGTCGTCATAAACGCTAAGATAGATTAAAACAGCCATCTTTGTACATCTAAACAATAATATTCCGATAAAAAATTCATGATACACAGAATAATTCTCAGTCAACAGAATAGAATATATACGAGCAGTTATGTAACAAAAATATACGTAATTCTGTGCAATAACGTGACCAAAATAATTCTCGTGACGTGATCAAAATAATGAATGATTGCAACGAAATTTTACGTATTGCACTTGATGAAAGAAGAGAAGAGCGTCCTGTAAAACTGGCAAGCCGTTCCAGAGGACTGGCGACACGTGACTGGTAATAGAAACTTCTCTACAAAAATACACTTATTGGGTTTTCTTTTATTTTTCTAATGTGACTAGAGCTGAGACGCTGGCACCTCTCAGCGACATGGCAATGATGCAGTAAATATCTCAATGTGTGTTAAACTCTAGCTTGCCTAAGATTAGTCAACATCAAAGGGAGAGAGTAGGAATAAATGTTGAAGAAATGCTGGTAAACATCAATGGGAGCACACATGAGACTCGTGACTTCTTTCAGACGATGCATGGCGTCGATGTAGAGATGCAATGTCTGAGATAAATGAGGGTACATGGAAATAAGTGAAGCTATTGACATAACAATAAAATAGAATCATGTGTCAGGTAAATGAACTATAAAAAAAACTAACTGACTGGTTTAAATCTAAAAGTTCTCATTTACTTTCTCGTGAAAAGTATTAATTATAAAATAACCTAGACGTCTTTGGGCACGAGAAAAAATAAATGAAGAGCATTAAATAACGACGAGAATAATTTAATAACTGAATACTACAACGAAATAAAAAAATATTGTACAGATCATACATAAATTTATCATGAAACCAGAATCATTCTAGCAAATTATTTAATTAAAGAAATTGATTCACCGAGTAATTCGTTCATCACATAAGCTCGGTTTGAAGGAAGATTCGTCTGAAAATAAAGTGAAGCAACTGTTCATGAAGGCAAAAAGGCATAAAGCGAAGGAGTGTTCAGTGATATTATGAAGAGACCGAACATCACCAGTCTCGTCTCGGAGGCTGAAGTAGGATAATAACATAAATGAACGAGTTATGTTGTTCAATAAGTGACACACTCTCTGCAGGTACGTAGCACTGAAACACCGCACTTATATGCCGGACCAAACTGTATGAGGATGACCCGCACATAAACAGAGAGTGCATCGCTGTTTGGACAACGTCTCACTCATTTTTCTGAGTGTATATAGGAATGAGGGTTGTAATAAATACAGACGTGATGAGGGAGAACATCGGGGTGCTACTTGCTACGAATTTATTGATGTAAACAGAACTTTTACGAGCCTAACGTTAGCAGATGTCGTCTCATCTATCACTTAACAACCATTGAGACAATCATTGCAATAATTACAATATAAAGACGTCAAGAGAAATGGAGATATCGAAAGATCGAGGCTGTCACAAACTCAAGAGTTGACCTGATTTGCTGGTAACGTACAGCTTCTTTGACAGGATTTTAAAGTTTATAAGTAGTGAGAGGGTGTTAGAAAATAACTTTTTTTAGTATGTCTTTTGAGAACGACATTAAGTGGACTATTAGACTACAGGAATAAGTCGGCAGGAGCGCGGAAAAAAATGTGCCTCACTTCAGGTCACTTGATCTGATTTTCAAGAAAATTTGCTCGTTTTTACTGGGAAACTTCGAGGCTATTGGGCCATCAATTTATTAATTGTAAACAGCTTCTTAAATCACTCAATAAAATTCGAAATTTCAACATAAAAACTTGTTATAAATGTCGACCGAATTCGAAATTTGTAATATTACCAGAATTTACATTCAGGTTAATAAATTTGGCTAATATTTTGATGAGTATTTACAAGTATGGGAAACAATTAGTTTGTTGAGGGTATTTTTTTTGTCGAAAGCTGTACGTCACGAGCAACTCGTTACACTCTCGCAGTGCGTGGACAAACTGTCGGCAGTGCATCTCATGGTAATTCATGGTCACGACATCAATGGTCACGGCATTGAAGTAAATAATATTAACCATCACGATATTAATGGCATTAACGGTGACGGAATAATGACCGAAAAGACAACTGGTTTGGAATGTTGGTATCCTTGACTCAATTAGTATTTTCGAATTCATCTGAATCATTAACAATTCGAATAAACAATCGTAATATCATTTGCTTGTCTACTTGATGGCTTATAAATAAGCAGTAGCCGGGAAAAATTCACTATCAAAAAGAGCCTAACGATTGTTAAAATCGTTCAACACAAGTTTTCAAAGAGCACTACGGCAATTTCTGAACATCTCAAATAATGGCAAAACTAGCACAAAATGAAGCGACTAAATGACAAATGAAGAAAAATTTGACAGAAGCAAGACGTCGATGCAGACGTCCTCGAAATTCATAAAGCACGCGTCCATTGATGGCCGTGACCACGACCAGCGGCTCCATCTGAGCCAATGTAGACCATCTGTTATCTTAAGTTAGGTCAGCTGATATCAAACAAGATGTAAAATGGGTAAGCTATGTTGCACTATCCTTTCTGGAGGTGCTTTCTTTTCTGCCTGCGCTACTGCAATTACTGGTCAACTGAGCAAGTTCTTTATAACTGGAAGAATTGATGAAGCGAGGATACGAGTCGCGGTGCATCAAAGTGTAGATCTGAGACTGCGCCTCGTCGAAGGTGTGGGGCGTGGGCGCTCGCATGTTCCGGTGTACGATGTCGCGCACACGCGAGTCCAGCGACACCTGCAACATAACCAACGTTAAACACTTTCATTTAAAGAGGTTTAGCACTACACTCCTTTAATAAAGGAGCATTACACCGTAACACCACAAATGGGTATGGCAGCAATGAGGCGTGAGTGCTGGCATTTACAGGTGTACGAGGTCGTGAGTTCAGTGATACCTACGTTGGAAACTACTAACTCAGAATGCGGCATACCTGCGTTGGAAACTTATAACTCAGAATGCAGCCTCAAACATGAGATTGTGATAACCAAAACTATTAATGTGGTAACAAATATGAGTATGTTATATCAATGAGGATCGAAGGAATGGTAAAAATGAGGGTTAAAAAATTCACATGAAACTTGGGAAAAAGAACGATCGTTCAATAACACGAATGAGGGCTAGAAGAACCCTCATTCAATCAAGGTAACACGGACTAGTGTTAAAGAAACACGGAGCGAACACTCCTATTACTGTTTTCTTTATTTTCTTTCTTATAGTTCTCTACATGAGAACTCTTGTCTAGGGTTCCTCAACGGAAACAAATAGGTTAGTTATTTTGATAATTTCGCAATTGGTATTCGTAATTTATTTGTTCTTCTTACTGAAACAGACTGTCTTACATCTTGAATTGACTTTGAAGATAGGTTCTAACTTCTCATCTAGGTACTTTATCCAGATAAGAATCCTCCCCATCTCCGTAACGTGCAGCTTGACCAGCAAACCTGTCGATCAGCTTGCTTCATCATTTGTCACCTGCCACTACATTATTTTATTCTGTAACCCGCGATTTTTTGCGTTAGTGTGACTTATTCCTATGAATTAAATACTGTTATATTCATATTCACTCTTTGATTTCTGTACTTTTTCTGACAACAGCCAATTTTCCCTGCAGTGCGAACCACAACTACGGTTACTGTTCTTTAATTAACTGGCTGCTGTTCAACTACATCGTTTGGCGTTCTATAGTTTTCATTAACTTCTTTAATTTACACTTGCGCTGAATTTCAATAGAATGAAAAAAAATGAACAAATAGCGAGCCGGATCACACACTAACAACTCGAGGTTAATGGATAAAACTAACCAAACAGATCGGAGGTAACACAATGCGCCGGCTCGCTAAGAAAAGTTATGCAAAACTAACGAAAAAATCTTGGGCTTCGATGAATGGAAATGGAGTGCGTCATGACCAGCGGCGGTCCACACAAATAAAAATATCGAGTCAAATTGTCCAAATGGTGACACTTTCTTCGGGCAGCACTGATCATGTAGCACTGCTGTGCCATTACGTTGGGGTCAACTTGATGAGAATGATCCAAATAAATTCAAAAAGTTCATCATTATTTGGACAAATCTCATTAATTTCTCTGAGTACAGGAACAGGGCTTGCAAGACGAATTGTTTCTTCAAACACGAGGAAAAGTGGAAGGATTAGAGCAACAACAATCTGGATAGGAATTCCTAAACCGTTTCTGTATTAATGTCAATAGTGTTTTGAAACTGGAGTTCATAAATTACAATGACTAAAAATAATTTTGTTTCCAGAAATTTCTAATCCAGCAATTATATTCATTAGACTAGCGCAGGATTTTGTTATCCTAATAATTGGAAACAAACTTTTAGGGAGGGAAAAACTATGAAGATGCATTTTCAATTACAATAAAAAAATCTAATCCAAGAAGAACTTGCAGTTATTTCTTTAAAAAACAAGTAATTAATTCAACGGAGGCGTGAGGGTGTTTTGCAACGCTAGCTCAGGTTCACACTCGCGATAAGAATTGCTAAGCTCCCAGCGTATTGTTGCGCAATTCGATAACGTCGCAACGAAAAATTATTGTCCTTTTCATTTCACGAGTTGCCAGCACTGAACAAAAACCACGTATACATACTTAAATGACTATTATAAGCCTGCAAAATTGCGAATAAAAAATTGCGAATAAAAAGGAATCAAAAATATTATCTACGAATGTAGGGCTAGTTATCAAGTAATCAATTTACTTAATTGCCACGAACTACATCACTACATTATGAATTAGGTCTTTACAATAACAGATGTATAGATGAATGATATATTTATTTACTACATGTACTCATGAATACTTGGTCGGCAAACTGAAATAATAATTGGCTGAAAACGCCAGGGAGGTTGAGGTGGACCTCTGTAGGTTGAGGTCGGCCTCAACCCAAAGCTTGAATTCACACTGTTAGAAAAAACGGTGAGAAACGGTCCCACTGGCATTCTAGCGGCCGCGGTCGCTCCGTGAAAATAAACTGTTTCTCCGTTTTTATCAGATGTTTTACGGATTTCTTGTCTTAAATTAGAATAAAAACGGCGACACGGTTTTTCTTTTCACGTGCCGACCGGCCACTGAAATGCCGGCAATATCGTTAACGTTAATTTTTCTAACAGTGCAGCGAGCTGAAGAGATCACACAGACCCGATCGCCAGACAACCAAAACTACTTTCAGCGCCCAGCAAGACAAAGGATTGCAGGCACCCGGCGCCATGCATCTCAGGTTACCAGCCAAACGCGGTAACATCATCGCAGATATCGAGACTTTCCTCCAGCTCATATTGACGCTATGCGTATAAAAGGAACAAACATGAAGCATGGTATGGACGAGCGTTCGGAAATAATTGGCTTCTTGAAGTTTTAAGAATGAATAGAAAATGCTTTTCTGTTCGATTTCGAGACAATGTTCATTTTGCGCACTTCTAATTCATGAAAATATTTCTTCTAGACACGGTACTTGAAATTTACCTAAGTTCTGTTAGGCCTCAGTTCAATGAGCTTGTCATAACATTAAATATATAACAAAATTAAAATAATATATTTGTCTTTTTTCAAAAAAATTATTAATTGACCCAACTTAACTATCTTCCAACACGAGCACGATTCCTGTAGGATTTCTTTTAATCGTAGCTTTTCAGGATATTGGTATTGACTTTGAGAAGTAGGCAAAATACAAATTCAATTTCAGAAGTAGGTAAAACAGATTCATTTTTAGAACTCAATTCCGCCCACAAACATCTTGATCAAGCCGCACGCAACTGACACGTGTGTGGCATGAACCTACAAAATGCACGGTTGCATCACAGAATACATCATAGCCATAACTGCGCAGTCAATAACACCAGAGGATGAAGTGAAAGATCCTGCAGAGGAAAATTACCATACTGAGACTCGTCGCGTGCGGCAACAAAAGAGGCCGGTCAATATACAAAAGGACTTCGCTGCCTGAGGTAACACATGTCAAAAGAATCCATGGCAAGATCACCGCCAAGATTGCCTCCCACTCACGATGATTCAAGAGAGCTATGAATGACGGCTATGAATGAGGGCAATGAATGAGACCCATTAGCATGGCATTCAGGGAAAGAATGAGTCCGAAGGCGGAAGCTTCGTGGAAGAAATTACTCTCCGAGCGAGCACGCCCACGCGCTCATTGCTCACTCCTACGCTCATTGCTCACTCCCACGCTCATTGCTCACTCCCACGCTCATTGCTCACTCCCACGCTCATTGCTCACTCACATTTCCTGCGTCTTGGGAGTACAAATTTCGGCACATCCACAAACGCACTGCACGGCTGCCTAACGAGCGTTCGTCAAAAGAACAAGAGTGGTTCAAATTAAATTCTGCAGATAATAAAGTTGTTTATGTGACACTACATTTATGCTCGCATGATTGTAAATAGAACAGCTAACTTCAACTAAAAGAAATTCGGAAAGCATGAAGTCGAAAGGTAGATCCGCATCGTTCACGTATCAATATTTCACTCTTCAACTAATTCATCTGCTAACCAGAAGCCTATACAAAGAGTGAAAAGTTCATTGAGTCAGACGAAATAAATTATTCTCTTAGGTAGGAAAACATTATTGTGTTATCTCTTGACATAAAAAACTCACAAAAAAATCAGGTGGATCTGCATTGGGAATTAAAATGCACTTTACAAAACTCTATACGTATAAAGAACTTCAGTCACAACAGAAAATTCTACCATTACAAAATTTCGCAATGCATCTTCGAATTCTTCAACATTTTGTATTTTGGCGGAAAAAAGCTTTGGACAACATTTAATAAAGCGATAAAATATTATACACATAAATAAATTCCACCATGGAAGTCATGATAAAAAGTTCTCGGCAAGACGAGTGTTCGGTAGCTACCGAGTCCACGACATGGCGGGAGGTTAAATTTTGGGGCGCGCTGACCGCTGGTTTTGAGTAGGCGGGCGAGTCTGGCGTCGGCGCCCCTGAGTGTTTGGGGGCCTCAACTTTAAAAGTTTGGGAGCAGCGTCACCACCAGCGCTCTTCCCTTCCACTACCGCCATTTCCTACCACCCTTTCTTTTCCTCACCCTACCTTCCCTTCTTATCCCCGAACTTTTCTGTCCCTACGCTGCACTTCCCTCTTCCGCCCACGCGGGTGCACGTGATGACGAGACGTTGCAGGGCCAGCGCTGTCACCGTCCTCACCTAATTACGCGTCTTTTATGCTTTAATTATCTCCTTTGTGAGAGTCAAGACCTCGAGTGCTAAGTAACTTTGATGCAGTAAAAAGGCACGCAACTCGAAAAATCTCTTGCACTCTGAGGCGACAAACGTGTTTTTAAAAATGACAAACGAACCACAAATAGCCAACGAAATGAAATGCACGTGGAGTAAAATGGCGAGAAAAAATAAATTCAGAAAGAATACAAGTATTAAGAGAAAAAACTACATGCACGAAATAGTACAAATGAGAGGTGATATTTTAAAAAGCAACTGGAACGAAAAATAAATAACAACATAGTAATTAGAATCAACAAAACTTGATTGCTTAAAGAGGAACTAATCTAAATTGTAATAATAAAGACAATGTCCACTGACAAAAATTCAAAAAGTTTTAACTTAGAAGCTTTGGAGATCTGATTCACAATAATTTCAGGAAATCGGAAGACACCATTTTGATAAACTTACAAATTAATAATTTAGTGTACTCGTAAATTTCGTTGTAGTATGGAACTTGTGATGGAGCGCAATGCGGAACATTTTCAAAAACATGATGAACTTTAATGGCATTTTCTTTTTTATATCAAATATTTAATTTCGCTATGTATTGCACTCCTGGGTTTCATCGCGGTCTAAAAGCAAAAAAAAAAAATCAAACATGTTGCGCCAAATCGCCAACAGCTGTGGACTTTGCTGGTGAAAAAGAAGCACCAGTCGCCTTTCATTGTGATTGAAAAATATGAAAGAAAATGTGGATCTGAAAAGTGAAATGGTTCAAAAAGTGCAATGCACGGGAGATCCTGAACAGAAATACGTACACCAGTGGTCGGTCACTCATACTGTACGAGCGATGCCAGTGCAACTAAAATCAACCAATCCCTGACCAATGAGATCTGCAGTGGAGTACTACAATGGCTTGGTTGTGCACAAGTCTCTCAGAAATAAAACAATAATAAGATGATCCAGTTTTTTAGTGAAAATTCGATCACGGCGGTGAGATATCCGAAAAATTGAAGATGCAGGTTAAGTTCAAGTGTAACCACTGATAGAATGAATGCTTGTTAATTAAAATGTGAAATCGATTATACAGTAATGCAAACGCCAAGACCAAATTTCGTACATCGCAAAAAATACCAACCAGAATCCAAAAATATGTAGCCAAAAATGGAAGAAACAACCTAATAAAAGCAATAGCCTAAATAACAATGGCGAGGTGGCAGTAAATGGACGCTAGCAAGGAAGTAGGTCGAGGGCTCGAAGAGAGCTCGGTCTCTCGGACGCCTGTGAAGAGAGTCGCTCGCTGCTCAGCGACAGGAAATCGAGCCTCCATCGAGCGAGAAAAATGCAAATGCAACGAATACGCCGACGAAATACCGATTGCTTTACGGAAATGGAAGTTGCTGGTGATGGCGCGAGCTGAAGTATCGTCCGTCGAAGGTATGCGGTGAAGGACACTCGTGATATTCATTGGCTTGTAGGTTTTTAGCCATGCGCAAAAATACACCACATACACGAGCCGTTTGTATTGGTTAGACTTTGATCAGATTGCTTTACGATTTGTTTTAATAAAAATTGAATGCACGAGTACATCTAAACGTCTGTCGCTACCGCTGCTTGCCGTATTGTTATCTGAGTGAGCATTGTGATGTTTGGAATCATATCATATCATAGTGATGTCTGCGCTGAAGAATAGGCTCGATGTGGACTGTGGTCGATTCTTGTACTTTTCTGGACTTGTGCACAGGAGATCTAAAAACAGGTCCTTCGACCAGATCTTTTCAAACTGACGATAGTTTGAAATAGCTACTATACTTCCGCCGGGTTCGATATGATGCTAGGCATTCAAAGTCTGAACATATATTTTTCCATAGCTTTAACTACTCTGTTCTTGAACACGTTTATAGTTTATACTCGGAGCGCCAACGATGTCATCGGGGAGGCTGTTCCACATGTCGGTGACACGAAGCGAGAAGAAATGTTGTCGCGTGGACAAGTTGCAGCGCCGTGTTTTTAGTTTATAGCCGTTACCCCTGGTGTTGGTTCTTGTTTCAAATTCTAGTAATCCTTCTGAGACCTTGTATATACCATGAGTATACTTGTATACTTCAATGAGGTCTCCATGCAGCCGTCGATAACAGAGGCATGGTAGCTTCATAATATTTAATCTTGTCCACAACACGTCACAAGTACGGCCGCAACACGTCTCTCTCTAGCACGTCACAAGTACGTCCACAACACGTCTCTAACACGTCACAAGTACGTCTACCAAATTTCCTCACTATACGTCCAAATCACGTTCTGAACACGTTCAAATCCCGTCAATGTTCCATCCTAAACACGTCCTTCACACGCCTACAAAACCGCCGCAACCGACCATTTGACGCCCTGAAGAACGACCAGGTTGTCTCTCACCGCGACTACCAAATCGTTCGGAAAATTTCAGGATATCCTCGAAACCATTAAATGTATTTCTGTATAATGTATTCCTGGATATGCTCGAAGTCGCAAAACATACTTCATATTGAAAGTTATAATTAAAAGGGTGTCACCTTACGTAACGTTCAACATTTTCAACTTTTGGACAAACAAAAGTTACGAAGCAAATAATAACTCAGAAAATGACCAAGAAGAAAAATTGTTAATATATATCAGGGTAAATAGATGACATTCTATAGCTATTACGTACAGAGCAAGAGTACATATCCTCACCTCCTTTGGAGACAATATACTAATATAATCCTCACCTCCTTAGGAGACAATATACTAATATAATCCTCACCTCCTTAGGAGACAATATACTAATATAATCCTCACCTCCTTAGGCGACAATATAATAATATAATCCTCACCTCCTTAGGCGACAATATACTAATATAATCCTCACCTCCTTAGGTGACAATATACTAATATAATCCTCATATATGAGGCGGGCCTTCTCCTCGACGACGGCAGGGTTGGTCTCGAGTTTGAGGTCCTCGCAGGCCTGCCAGAAGAGGATGTTCTCTTCCGAGTACTCGCACTTCAGGAACTCGCTGAACGCTCTGCGACCGCCTGCGCAAAATATAAAGCATTTATTGAGAACAAATGCGATAGGTGGAGTGAAATTACGTTTATGCGATAGGGATAAACTTAATAATTACTGCGACTGCCTGCGGAAAAAAAGCATTTCTTGAGAATAAATGCTATAGGCGGAGTGAAATTACGTTTATGTGATAGGGACGAACTTATTAATTACTGCGACCGCCTGCGTAAGAAAATATAAAGCATTTCTTAAAAACAAATTCAATAGGTGGGGTGAAATTATGTATATGTGATAGGGACGAACTTATTAATTACTGCGACCACCTGGGAAAAATATAAAGCATTTCTTAGGAACAAATGAAATAGGTAGAGTGAAGTTAAGTTTATGTGATAGGGATGAACCTACTAATTACTATTAGTAGTAAATAGCGAAGTAAATTGCTGAAGGTCATGAGCTGCAAAAATTAAAAATACTAATTTTACAATAGGATATGATTGAGGCAGGTTAACTATATATAGTGGAATTTTGTATTGGCTCAACAATTGTTAAGATGACATCACATATGCATGATGACATCACATATGCATGATGACACCACATATGCATGATGACATCACATATGCATGATGACACCACATACGCATGATGACATCACATATGCATGAAGATACCACATATGCATGAAGATACCACACAAGTCCTCATTATCGATGTCACTTGTTTGCTTGAATCGCAAATTCACTAGAAATTTAAAAGCAAAAGAAATCCACAGAAGTGCATCATATTTTTCAGAAAACGTTTGGGAGTCCAGCTCCATCGTCAGTTCAAAGATTATAGAATGCACATAAAATCACAAGTTAGTCCAGTTGAAAGTCACGGCACCGAAATTTAAATTTAAATTTGCAAATTTGAAACAATTTAGACAAAGCACACATGAGAAATAACAGCAAAAGCTATCTATTAACAATCTCAAAGGGATATGAGCTGAAGGCTGAAATAAAACCGGGCATAAGTTTAGAAATTTACAAGGTTCTAAAATACGCAGATCTGAAGTACCGGAAGTGGAAGCTAACACCTGAAAGTCACTGTCAGATACTTAATCATTACGCTGTTCGGCGTGAGTGTGCACAGCCGAATGAGGAGGGCGCAATAGTAAATGCCCAGTCCTACAACTTCTGCCCTTATGTTCAGCGACCCTAGAATAAAGATTGCGTGACGTCATCCCGACGTACGCAGATGCACATCGTGCACAACAATATTGATAAACTAGGGACGATCGCATTTTAACAGTGAGCATATCTTTGTATCTAAAGAAAGAACCGATTTTGAATTGTTTACCAACCCAACTTGAAGATTGACATTTGGGGAGTATTTATTGTACAAGACTTTCGATTCCTCGATATAGCTTCGGACACAGGGCCAAAGTATGGAAAAGAGCAATATTCTACGTTCCTACTATCGCGCTAGGGAGCAACCTCACTGTATCGCTTCGACATGAATTTCTTGATTTGGGTAAACACCAAACTTGCCGGAAATTAACTATAAAGCGATAAACTTGTGCGCAAAAACTTAAATTCAGCACGCATAGCATGGTATGTATAACACATACGAAAGCAACTGGTCTCTGACAGTGACTTTAAGGTGTTAGCTTCCACTTCCGGTACTTCAAGTCCAGACTATTATGATACCGCATTCAAAATTGCGATAACTAGTTAATCACACACAATTAGCATGGCAGCGTTAAGGATATTTTTGTGGATACATTTCACGCGCACAAAATTCTAGTCTGAAACTTTCATCTCTAAGAAAATACGTTAATTGAACCAGTCATACAAAATGAAATTAAGGTCGTATATTCTTGCAGTATAAACACGAAACGTTTTGGGTTCCAAAAACATTTGAGTGCAGCGTTGAATTCCAGTCAAAATTACCATTAAATTTGATTAAAAATGACGCTTAGTCAAAAGAAAAATGCGTAAAAGTATTCTAATGCGAAATCTGCATTAAAAAATATGGAAAGTCGTATTCTGATAAGAAGAATGTCCGTGAAATAAAAAAAATATTCTAAATCTTGAACGTTTATCAGATGCGATACGGACGGGAGTAAATTTCATGTTGAAGATTTGTAATAGGATCACCATACTCATTCTGAAGCAAAAAACTCAAAAACTGAAGCGACAATTAAACATGTGAGCAGAAACATGGCAACGATGTCTAGAAAATGGGGCAGCAGAAGCACCAAGAAACGATGCAGTTCCATCAGCCGTTGATCGCGACCACTAACGAGGCAATGTGCATCTAAAATGGCAATTTGCGAGGCTAAGTCATCAGATTATGAACGTGATGGCGAAATTGCGAGCAGGGAAAGCTAGGTTGGCTGTCCACGGGGTGAGATCAATAATGAAAATTAATACTAAGTTCATTAAAATATAAATGATATGATAATGTATGTAAAATGAATTCGTTATAAATGATATGATAATGTATGTAAACTTAATTCGTTTCATTCTCTGAAGAAATAATTCAGATCCATAATAATCAAAACTCTGATGAACGCAATTAATCTGCGGAGTTGGGCCCAAACAGTTCAATTTACGAATCATGCTTACTTAATACCAATTGTTAACACTTCGGGAGGTTGTTATATACGTGGCATATACGTATTTATAAGCCGGCTTAGCCGGTTAACTAAGAGTAACAGATTAACTTAGCGGAGCAGGTTAACAACGCGTTAAAGGTTTAGCCGATAATTTTGGGAAGTAATTTTTTTATGAGCGGGGTCCCGTTTTTATTCGAAAGCTCGTAATGAAGGATATCTGTTCCTCAGAATTACGACGAAGGTATCAGAGAAATAAAGAACTCCCATCATCTATAATATAATCAAAATGAAGTCTTATTAATGAAACCAATCAAAAGTTCACTTAAATTCATATTGAAGCATATTTTAATACCCAGTCAAACTTCTGAACTAATCAAGCTTTGAACCACTCTTTCTACACAGATCAGTTATTATTCAATTTCAATAATTATAAAATAATAAATACAATAATTTATAATATTTTCTCACCTCATGGCGACCGAACAAGGGAAGAAATAAGGAACTAGTCTAACAGCGACAAGACAGTTCAGGGCGAGTTGGCAAGGCGTGTAGACAGTCTGCGGATGTGTCTGTTTTGCAGACGATTATTGACGGATGTCTTTGACGGCTACACGAGCGCCACGGAACACAGCTAGCGCCGCTCTCGCTGCCCACGTACACGACAGCGCAGCGTAAACATGCGTCAGCCACGCGTGATGCGCACGCCTCAGCAACGCGTGATGTGCACGCCTCAGCAACGCGTGATGCGCACGCCTCAGCAACGTGCGCTGCGCACGCCTCAGCAACGTGTGATGCGCACGCCTCAGCAACGCGTGATGTGCACGCCTCAGCAACGCGTGATGCGCGCGCCTCAGCAACGTGTGTTGCGCGCGCCTCAGGGGCAGCCCTTATCGTGGTCTGCTCTGCAGGGGCAGTCCTCAGCGTGGTCTGCTCTGCAGGGGCAGCCCTCAGCGTGGTCTGCTCTGCAGAGGCAACCCTCAGCGGGGTCTGCTCTGCACTAGCAGTCTTCAGTGTGGTCTGCTCTGTCGTCTCCTCATATCAGCAGCCATGTCGTCAACTTTCTTCTCACGTTCCTTATTTTGCAGCAAACGGCTGTAATATTTCTATGCTGCGCACGCCTCAGCAACGTGTGATGCGCACGCCTCAGCAACGTGCGCTGCGCACGCCTCAGCAACGTGCGCTGCGCACGCCTCAGCAACGTGCGCTGCGCAGTAGCAACGAAACAGAGAAAAAAGTGAGCTGCTGGTAGCGCTCAACTTAGAAATGTTTCGTGACCTTTTAATGTAATAAATAACGGTAGCTCCAGGAGCTTTTCGTCACATTCTCTACCAACGGTTGATCATTAACTACTGAATATGATAAAAGAGTTGTAAAGAAGTCCGAGTTTGCCTTCGAGTGCATAAAAACAAATGCTAGCAACCAATTAACGAAACGAGAGAAGAGTCATGCAGTATAAAGTGATCAGTATTTGGCTTTATAGGCACAATTGCACATGAGCAAGTATAAGCAGACCACGGGGCAAGGCGGGCTTTGACCGGTCTGCCGTGCAGGGGCAGCCCTCAGCGTGGTCTGCTCTGCAACGGCAGCCCTCAGCGTGGTCTGCTCTGCAGGGGCAGTCTTCAGCGTGGTCTGCTCTGCAGGCGCAGCCCTCATCTTGGTCTGCTCTGCACTAGCAGTCTTCAGCGTGGTCTGCTCTGCACTAGCAGTCTGCAGCGTGGTCTGCTCTGCACTAGCAGTCTTCTCACGTTCCTTATTTTGCAGCAAACGGCTGTAATATTTCTATATTCCTTTTGCACATTTTCACTGTAAATTTTCCGAGCTATAATCCTATATTATATACCTATATATTTTAATATATTTATAATGTTAATTACAACTATTATTGCCATTGCTTGGAAACAATGCAAGCCAGAGGCTAAGTTATTGAGTTGGTTATTTAACACTGCATGGCATCTCAAGCTCCCAACACATTTATCGCAATGAATGTTAAATGTAGTGCAATAAGAAATTTCAGATAAATACACAAATACATTTCACATGACTATTCACATGAATGAGGATATTCTTAGAGATTAAACGTATTTATACAAGAAGTAATTACACTTAGACTCATGCGCTCATGCAGATTTAGCAATAAAAATTCGGGACAAATTTTGTACATTACACACTATGTTTTTTATGAATTATTTTTATGATTCGCGGATCAAGCCCTAAAAAGTGCACCATTTTCCCCGTATCTCAATATTCCTGCAGCAACAAACAATAGCAGGCAGGAGGCAAGCATAAGCCTTTGATGAGCTACCGTGTGCCGAGTGCAAAGTTTACGCCAAAGTAAACACGACGCCCTGAACACACGACGTGCGCAGGCGCTACACATTCTTATCGAGTTGTTGTTAATAGCCTTAAGCTATTGCATACGCATGAGACTTG